AAAAAAAAAAAAAAAAAAAAAAAAAAAAAGAAGGGAAGGATTATCTGAGTGGCTCAGTTATTTGAGCATTTAACTCTTGGTTTTGGCTCAGGTCATGATTTCAGGGTCATGAGATCGAACCCTGCCTCAGTCTCCATGCTCGGGACGGATTCTCTCTTCCTCTCCCTCTGCCCTCATCCCCACCCCCTGATAAGTAAATAAAATCTTAAAAAGGAGTAAAAAAACCCAGTTACATGAAACATTAGTTTCTTTTGTAGTGTTCAATATATTTATTATACCACCACAGGTATCAAAGACACAAATAAAACTTACACATAAAACGAACATCTACCTCCTTTCCCCAATTAGATGTACTTGTACACTAACAACGGCTAACCAATAGAACACACTAAACCAGAAATAATCAGCATTTTTAGTAACTTCCACATCTGACAGAATCAACAAGCATCTCCATTTCTCCTTCTCCTGCCACCCTCTTTGTTTACAAACAGCCACAGTGTTAAGGGTGTGGCTTCTGGGGCCTGAGCCATCCAGTCTGTTTTTGATGCTGGCGTCGCCCCCGCTGATTCCCAGGCGGCAGGACAAACGACAGGGAAGATGGGTTACCACCACCTGGCAGGAGTGGGCTGCAGTTTCAGTTCTGAGACTTGAGGCCAGGCATAAAGGCTCAAAGGTAAATGGGAAGGTAAAAGTTCAGGAACTGAAACAGTCAGCGTGCACTTCAGGGCTGGCAGGTAATGGAGGGTGGGGACAACTTTTAAAAAGTGAGGCCAGCGAGCAGAGCACGCAGGCCTGGAGCCCGAGCACGGTGGTGATTTAACCAGGCATCAGGGCCTTGCAGGGCAAAGAATATTTCCTCCTCATGGAAACCAGGCTGACACGCTCTCAGCCGACAAACAGCGAGCCTGCCCCCGTCCGCACGGTCAGGGAAGGCATTGTTCCAGAGACCATGACCGGAAGCCCACAGGGGCCACAGCAATGAACTCTGCTGGGGGAGCAGGGCAGCCTGGCCCAGAACGGCACCTGAGAGGGCTCCAGGCCCAAGAGCTGCAACTTGCCACTCAAGCGACAATGTTTTACTTCATGCCCAGCGGAAAAACCTAAAGAGAATGTGTTCTTCAGAGAAAGGGAGAGCTTACCGGGATGGCGCTGGGTAACACCTTAGGCTGGGCAAAGACTTCAGGATCCTGGTTTTGCTGCATAGACTGCAACGTTAAAAAGAAAAGATGAACAGACTTAGCAAGCTTCAATGAAAACTTCCTAACTACCGGGGATAAATTCACTTTAGCAGTTAAGAACAGGGCAGACACTACTAGTTCTGCCTCAACTGCAGGGCGAGGGCCCTGAGACGCCCTCCCGCCCCCTCAGTCTCCCCAAGAACAGGGCTGTGTGCAGAACCTTCAAGGCGTCTCTAAGGAAAAGAGTGGGGACATCCCATGCACGGTTTTGCTGTTGAATCTGTAGAGATGCCACATCCTGGTGGCCTGAAACCTCGATAAGGTGGCACTAGACAGCCTTCATCTAGAGTCACACCTCCACATGCTACGTTTTATCCTTATTCATTGGGAGACAAAGAACTTCTTGTTGTAGAGCAAATACATTTAAAATTCAGTAAAGCCGGGGTTCCTGGGTGGCTCAGTGGGTTAAGCCTCTGCCTTCGGCTCAGGTCATGATCTCAGGGTCTTGGGATCGAGTCCTGCATCGGGCTCTCTGCTCAGCGGGGAGTCTGCTTCCCCCCTCTGCTTGCCTCTCTGCCCACTTGTGATCTCTCTGTCAAATAAATAAAATCTTAAAAAAAAAAATTCAGTGGAGCCCCAGACCCTGAAGGAAATGAGAGGTAAATGCAAATGCACATGCGTTGGGGCCCCTGCAAGGAGGCACAGTGGAGAGCAGGGTGGCGCTGTGGCAGTTCAGGCCGCTGGCCAGGCTTCCAGAGCAGCAGGCCCACTGCAGGGTTGTGGTACTCATCTGTCAGAACATTCTCTCTCCGTAGACTGCACAAAACCTCAACAGAAATGGCCCGAAAGCACAGTTTCAAGATAGAACCAAAACACTGTTTTCTGTCTTTCTGCATAGGACTTTGAAGGAATGGAACAAAACTGTCCATCAACTATGAAATCACATACAATTACTATGATGGACTCTCTGTACACTATTATTTGGTGAAATCTTAAGAATGAGGGTTATTATTAAAGGGCACAGGGCTGAAATCCTGGTGACTCTCACCTGTAAACTTGCCAGCCTCATCCATCACTGAGGGACAAGCCTCTTCACACCTCACCCGCAATCTACCAACAGGTCCCACTGCTCGCACTTGTGAACGAACCCCCTGGTCCATACTCCCAAAGTCAGGCCTCCACCAGCTCAAGACTGGGTAACCACCTGGCCTCCTTCCTGACGGTGGTCCTGCTCCCGTCTTCTCCTTCCCTGTTCACCACCTCTGCTCAAAGCCCTTGGGAGGCCACCCGCCCTCCCTGGGCTCTGAGAACAAGCCTCAGATTGCTTCACATAGTTTCCAAAGCCCTGCTGACTGGCCAGTAACTTCACCTCCAAGCTCCTTCCGCAGGAGATCCGACCACACTACAGGTCTTCATGTTTAGTAAATGCTGCTCATCTCCAGGCCTCTGCACATACTACTTTCCTTTCCTTGTCTCAAACACTCTTCTCTACCTCTAGGGAAGGTCTGATTAACCTCCACTGAGTCTTCAGATCTTAGCTGAACATGAGCTTCACTAGGAAGCTTCACTTGATCCTGTATCTCCAAATCTGGGATACTGTTATGGCACCCCAAGTGTGCCTGGCCCAAGGTGGGCACTCAGTGAATACCAAGGGAACTGGGGATGGGCCAAAGCTGGCGATAATCTGCATCTACGGTCCTGAGTCAAATGTGGACTTCTGGACTTGTGAGGCAGAAACAAACCAACCCTCTACAATGCATGCCCTGATAGGAAAACACTGGTGTGGCTTCTTGGCTTGACCAGCTGCTATCTCTGGGGCAGTGGAACTAAGTCACACCACCACGTATCAGTGATCTGGCTGTTCACAACAGGGCTTCTTACCTCCCGTCTTCCGGCCCCGGATGTACCTAACAGCTGTCTCTTTGAAGGGACTGCGTCCTAGTGGTCACTGTCAAGGCCTCTGAAGCTTCCCCCACCAGTCAGAGCCACCCAGCCTCCTGCCAGTACCTGAAGGGGAGCAAGCACCATGTTGCTCAGGGCTGCTGAGGCTCGAGCTGCTGCAGTCTTGGAGGGAGGCTCTATGAAGCTCTCGGGTGTGGCCAGCTGGCCGGCTGCTGGGGAAAAGCTGGGTGCCACGGCTCCTTTCCCAAGAGACTGCGTCTGTATTTGGTCATGCTGTGGGGTCAACCTGAGTTTCTGGAGAAGATCCACGCTTGGGAGGGATGTACCAGCTGTGTTTGTCACGCTCAGGGGGGCCCTGAAGGGGCTCTGGGTGGCAGTCAGATTGGCATGGCTCAGCTCAGGGACTGGCTGGCTCAGGAGTGGAGACCTCTGTCTCGGCGTGGTCTTCACCGCCTGCATCATGGTGGTGTTTCGGGGTAAGCTGGGCGGAACCTGTGCTGTAGGAGCTTCTGCTGGTAAAGTGGGACTGAGCACAGGGCGCAGTGGGATGGCATAGCCTGGGGCCTGTTTGTCACCAGACTGTGTGATGGAGGCAGGAGTGATCAGCACCGGGGTAGGGACTTCAGGTGGGACTGAGTGGTGGGCAGTAGGATGGACACCCAGGTTTTCCGACTGAGGGGCTCCTCCTGACTGCTCGAAAGAAAATGGTAGGAATGAGCTGGACTCTTTCTGGGAGGCATCTCCTGGCAGCCTCTCCACTTCTTCCGAATCCAGACCCACAACAGCTGGCTGTTCCTTTGGCAAAGAGGTTCCAAATAATTCTTCCACTGTCAGATGTTTGTGTCCAGATGGAGCAGACTACAAAAAACAAATCGAAGCACCCAATGAAAGAAATTTCTTGCAAACCAGTGTAACCAAACTTCTTCCCCATCAACCAAAACAGTTTGCAGAAGCAAGGATGGATGGAGTCTGGAACTAAGGAACCAGCAAACTGAAGATGTGCTAGGGATTAAGGCCGAATCACCTCCCCACACTGGTGGGCAGAAATCTGTATTTATAATAAAACCCAAGTTTTAGGGGCTCCTGGTATAATGTTAGAATTTACCTTTTTTCCTTGGCAAATGGATATAAGGCAATATCTTACCACAAAGTTAATAGTGATTAATTGCCCTATGTCAGCAATGTATATAAGGACATAGGGATCAAATGCTGAGTAAGCAACCCTCCCTTTGTTTTTATACTTCATAGCTCTTGATAAAAAGCTAGCCATTGCACCTTAGGGACTAAGTTCCAGAAATTTAACCTTAGGGACTAAGTTCCAAATTTAACCATTCTGTAAATAGCAGGCCATTCCTTCCTACCACCAAATCACAGAATCCTTAAGAAAAAGCAAAGCACTTACATCTGAAAATGTTAAAAGTTCCATCTGTTATAGTGATCTGGCTTACCGATACCACTGCAATGATCTGAAGGAGAAATACTCATGCTTTTTACTCCTGAGCTATCCTGTACCTTTACTTTAAGCAGGACGGCCATATTCACTTACCGTCTCTTTTTTTTCCCTCTTTATCTCCAAGGTGCCAGGGCCTGTTCTGACCTGGGCCCAGAGGACACAGTAGGAGTAACAAAAAAAGTCTGACCCTGAGCAGGACTTACGTTCTAGTTGGAGACTAACCTAAGTACTTTGAAAACGCTAAGCAACCTCAACATATGTTTTTTCTTTTTTTTTTTTCCCAGTAAGCTCCATGCCCAGTGTGGAGCCCAACACGGGGCTTGAACTCACAATCCTGAGAGTTAAGACCTGTGCTGAGATCAAGAGTCAGATGTTCAACCAACTGAGCCACCCAGGCACCCTTGATATACGCTTTTATTTCTAAAGCATATGGACTAGTTACTCAGATAAATGTTTATGTAGAAAAAGACAATTCACTGAAACACATGGCTTTCAGCACCCGAGAAGGCCTAGAAAGGCCCGGAACTACACTGCATCTGAAGCACAAGCACGAGAGCGGGAGGGTACAACATTTCTACAGGAAAAAAGCGCAGTTTTTCCTCAGGCAAATGTCTGTTTCATCTGTGTGAGCAACAATTACAGGTTTCCCCAGCTATCTGCATGTGGAATGTGCCTAGGAAATGTTCATTAAGCCAAAATGGCAGAAAGTAAAGCAGCAATTATTATTAATTCATATGGAAAATTTTTGACCATTTCTAGACCCCAGAATAATATCTTTTGCTTTTTTTTGGGTTTTTTTTTTTGAGATTTTATTTATTTGTGTGTGAGAGCGAGCAGGGGGGAGAGGCAGAGGCGAGGTAAAGAATCTCAAACTGACTGCTCGTTGAGCGTGGAGCCCGACATGATGGATCCCATGACCCAGAGATCATGACTTGAGCTGAAACCAAGAGCTGGACACTCAACTGACTGAGCCCCCCGGTGCCCCTCTCTTCGGCTTTTCGGATACCTCAGCACACATCCTGCTAACAGACGCACAGAATACTTGGAGACAAAGCGCAGGTGCTTAAGAGCCAGGGATGCCGAGTGCGGTTCCCAGGGCAGGGGCTCGGCGGGCCACTGGCTCCGCACAGGGTGTCACTGCCACTGTGGTCGCCTGCTGCCACACAAACGCCAAATGTTATTTTTGCTTTTTACCTTTATTCATAAAAGCAAAAATCCTCTTTGGATTTCTTTCAGTCAGCAAGGTAGGTACTGATACAGGTCTTCCCTAAAAGCAGAAGTGGCTTCATGCGAACTTCGTGGGACACCCCGATGGGGTTTAGCAGAGGCCGTGGACACCACACGGGGATGGGCGGGGTGGGGAAAGGAGGCCAGCACCCAGGACTGAGGCTGCCAGGGAGCGCACTTCTGAGGGTTGGAAAGCTAAGGGAGTGCCACCGTACAGTCTCTCGCATCGCTTGCTGGGGGAGCGGCGCCAGTGCGGCTACTGGGGCTGAGGAGAACGTAGGTGGGGCGTGATAACAGTGGCGAAGACGCAGAGGCCTCCCCCAGTTGTAAAAAACTAATTTCATACCAAACCACTTCTTCTTAGAAAACATTTTTAAAAAAAGATTCTACTTATTTATTTGAGAGAGAGAAAACACAAGTGGGGTAAGGGCAGAGGGAGAAGCAGACTCCCCGCCAAGCAGGGAGCCTGATGCAGGGCTCGACCCTGGGACTCCAGGATCATGACCTGAGCCAAAGGCAGACGGTTAACCAACTGAGCCACCCAGGTGCCCCGTTAGAAAACACTCAACAAACAGAATTAATGTAATATATCTTGGCAAGTTAACGTGACAAGAGGCTTTGTTTAACTGAAGGAATTGTCAAATGGCAGATTCAGACCCCCCATTAACAATGCTGTAGTGAGACTAGTAAGACCACCTTGTCACAATACTTCCTAGCACCTGAAGGGGATTTTCCAGATTCAGGATCTTGGTTCAAATACAAGGCAGTACTAACATCTATTATACACTGTGGAGGTAAAAAAAAGTGCAAAAGAATGTGTGTGCTTTCATTTATTTATTTTTCTACTTCTGAAAAAGTTGTAGAGCTTCGGGTCTGAAATCAAAGACACCTAGTTTCAATTCCCAGCTGTTAATTGGGGAAATGACAGTCTCTCTATTGAGTTCCCCCATCTGAAAAATGGGGACAACTGTGGCAATTACCTCACAGAGCTGCTGTGAAAATGAAATTCTCAACGTGATGTCTGGTGCCCAACAAGCATTCAGTAAGTGGACGTTGGCGGTTATCATTATATGAACACCATACAGTCTTAACAGCAATCAAGATAAAGTTGTTTCCATGTTTTACGGAACATCAAATAATACATTGGGATATTAAAAATTCATCAAATCCTTCCGGAATATCATACCCGCAAAATGTAAAATAACAACACAGCATCACCTGATGGGCTATCAAGGTTGAGTTATTATAAATCACCCTGTCGTTCCCTGATGCAAGGAGTCATTAAAGATAGTTGTTTAACATTTCAAATCCATTCAGTGTAACTCAAAACAGACAGTGAATTCTCACTTGGGACACACTTCTCTGTCCAGCGCACATAACTGGAACAGGATGCACAGGTTCCATCTCCCCAAGCGAATACTGACTTACTCACTTCTGGATCTCTGGCATTATGAAGGCCTACCGAGGAGCACAAACGTAATTCCTTTTCCCCCAATTTCTAAAAGTTACGGTAGGGGTGCCTTGGTGGCTTAGCCAGTTAAGAGTCCAACTCTTGATTTCAGCGTGGGTCGTGATGTCAGAGTAGTGAGACAGAGCTCTCCACCAGGCTTTGCACTCAGCAGAGAGTCTGCTTAAGATTCTCTCTCTCTGCCCTTCCCCCCCACTTGAGTGCACGCTCTGTCTCTCAAATACATAAATCTTAAAAAAAAATTATGGTAAATATATGTACCAAAATTTAGCACTATAACCACATGGAAGTGTAGAACTCAGCGGCATTCAGGACACTCACAATGCTGTGTAACTAACCAAGATTTCTTTCCCTCATCCACAGTCCCGATAATCTCCATTCGACTTTCTGTTCCTATCAATCTGCCTACTCTGGGCACCTCATTCAAGTGCAGTCACATCATATTTGTCCTTTTGTGACCAGCTTCCTTTGCCCAGCATCCTGTCCTTGAGGTTCATCGACGCTGTAGCAGGTGTTAGAGTCTCCTTCCTTCTAAAAACGCTGACTAGTAACTCCATCATGTGCACATCCCACCTCTCATTTATTCATTCTTCTGAAGACTGATACAAGTTGTTCCCACCTTTTTGCTACTGTGAATAATACTGCTGTGAACATTAGTGCAAAAGTACTTGTCTTCATCCTTGTTTTCAATTCTTTTGGGTATATACCCAGGAATAGAACTGCTGGTTCATATGGTAATCCCATATTTGACTTTTTGAGGAACTGCCATACTGTTTTCCAAAGCTGCCGCACCATTTTACTTCCCCAACAGTGCTGCAAGAGGGTTCCGGGTGCCCAACACTCCTGCCAGCATGCTGGCCATTTCTAGATCTTTTTGAGAAGATGACTATTCAAGTCCTTTGCCCATTTTTGAATTGGGTTAATTCTTTTTTTTTTTTTTTTTTTTTTTTTTAAGATTTTGTTGATTTATTTGACAGACAGAGATCACTAGTAGGCAGAGAGGCAGGTAGAGATGGGGAAGCAGGCTCCCTGCTGAGCAGAAAGCCCGATGCAGGGCTCGATCCCAGGACCCTGAGATCATGACCTGAGCTGAAGGCAGAAGCTTAACCCACTGAGCCACCCAGGCACCCCTGGTTAATTCTTTTTTATACACATTATGTTTAAAACAAAATGGTCAAGACTGCTTGGCAAAAAAAGTACTTGAAAACTACACTAACTGTTATTCATTAGCACAAATTATGTAGATCTTTACCACCACGTTCTATTTCATACAGATGTATAGACACACAAAAAAGTGTTTAGATAAACATACTTTGAAATATACAGACCATATTGGGGCTATTTTGTGGAAACTTGAGTCTTTCCCAGGTAAGAATACAAATATTTTTATGCTATAAGAAAAGGATTCGGGCACCTGAGTGGCTCAGTCGGTTAACTGTCCGACTTCGGATTTTGGCTCAGGTTGTGAACTCGGGGTAGTAGGATTTAGAGCCCTGAATCAGGCTCTGTATTGAGCTTGGAGCCTGCTTGGGATTCTCTCTCTCCCTCTGCCCCGCATTCCCCCAACCCCCTGCTCATACGTGCGTGCTCTCTCTCTCCCTCAAAAAAACACAAAAAGGAAAAAAAAAAAGAAAGAATGAGTAAACAACAGGACCTGGGGAATATTCAACATGAAATATACCTTAGGCTTCAAAACATGGCAATTATTCA